ACATATACACCACATTTTCTCTATCCATTCATCTGCACCATAGACTTGCAAGTTTGACCTCTACCCATGGTAAGAAAGAAATTTTACAGTGTGACGTGTGGCCTTTTGACTGAATCCAAATTTTACAGAACACATCCTCTCATTTTTAATACATTTTTGTTCATCTTTTCTATTTTCTATTTTATTTTAAAAATGAACATATTTAAAATACCAAAGAATAAAATAAGTGTCAATGAAATAATCATCCCAGATTGACTGGCACAATTGGAACATTAGTAAGCCAGAGGGCTAAATTAACAGCTGCTACACTCATGATTTAGTTCTAACTTCAGCCACCGGACTGGTGCCACTACCACGCGAGGCAGGTTGGTGAGAGTTTATGGGGGTCAAGTATGTCCATCTATTATCAGCTTTTGACAGTGGCACACTGTGTTTCTAGTTGAAGTGGAATTTGTGAATAGTTGCACAGCTTGACAGTATTTTTTAATTCTGGCTGCTTAACAGCCCATCATGTCAAAGAAGACCAAGAGAACACTGAAGGAAGAAAACAGATTTTTTAATGAGGATTGGAAATTGCAATATTATCTTGTTTCTGCTAAGGATAAGATGATTTACTTGCTTTGTGATACTGCAATATCAACATTAAAGAAATTCAATGTTCATCAGCATTATAACACTCATAAAGACCACAAATATTTTAAAGTAGAGGGAAAAGTGTGAAAAGGTTGTATCACAGAGATTAAAAGACGAAAAGTAAAAGCAAAGATGATTCTTTCAAGCAGCAATAAAACCTGCAAATAATGCCACTGATGCAACTTATAAAGTAGTCTATATACTCGGGGTTGGGGGGCAGGGGGTGGGAAGCCATTTGGTGATGTAGAAATTGTGAAAGAATGCACTGTTGAAGTTGTAGGTCGCTTAGACCTAGATAATGTTTCAAAGTACAAACAACTGCCTATTTCAAGGAGAACCATGACTGATCAGTAGCATGAATTAGACTTCAACTTAACCGAACAACTTCATGCAATATTTCAAAAGGAAAATATATATTATTCAACCATTGTGGATGATTGATACTGATATTACTGACTCTATGGAGGTTTTATACTTCACTCAGGTCATAACAAAATTTCTTTGCTATGAAGAGTTCCTCGCTTTGGGCACTCTTGAGAACAGAACATGTGGAGTTGGTATCTTCAACAACTTTCAAGATACACGTTGTGAGGTTGGACTGAATTTGGTAAATTTAGTGAGTGTATGTACAGATGGTGTACCTTCAATGACAGAAAAACATGAAGAGTTTATTGCACAGATTAAAAAAACTATTAACAAATCCAGATGCTCTCATTTCTTTTCATTGTATCTTGCATCAGCAAAATCTTTGTTAAAGCTACTATTTTAAGTGACACTTTGCAACAGATTATAAGTATTGTTAACTATATGTGAGCAAATGCAACACTGCATTGCCAGTTTCATAACATGCTAAAGTTGAACAATGAGGTATTCAGTGTGGATTTGCCATATCATTCTAAAGAGCGTTGGCTATTGCAGGGACAGGCGTTAGTCAAAATTTTATCTCTGTGAGAACAGATAATTACATTTTATGAAGAACAGAATCAGTAGTGTGAATTATTGAAACAAGATTTCTATAGGAATGCAGCATTTCTGTGCGGTATGTCAAATCAAAACAACTTGAATATTTCTTTGCAAAGTAAAACAGTTAATAAGCCTATAGATGATATGCCACAAAAAAATCCAAACATTTTGAAAAAGCTATCTTTTTTCAAAACACTTTTTCTTCAAAAGGAAATTTCGAATGAATATTTTTCCCAGTTGGCAAAGGTCATTGATGAGCAGGATGATATATACAAATCATTTGAAGAATATGCAGCTGTAATAGACCTATTAATTGAAGAATACAATGAAAAGTTCACTGACTTTGAGAATCATGAAATCACACTCAAATTAGCATTTCAGTCTCACCTAATTTATATTACCAAGACATCTAAAAAACTACATATGAAATTGATTGAGCACTCAGTAGATGACATTTTAAAGTCATTGTTTGATGCTAAGAAAGATCCAACCGAAATATAGAAAAATACAGTAGAATACCCATCCCTTTGGCAACATGCCCGAAAAATGTTTTCTTGCTTTTCAACCATTTATTGCTGCGAATATACATTCTCCTACCTAACCCAAATCAAGACACCCTTAAGGTCATAAATGACTAATACCCATCTAGAGGATCAACTGAAACTGCAGACCTCCATGCTGAAACCAAATATTCAAGTGCTTTCCAACAAAAAGCAGACACAACAAAGTCATTAAAAGGTTAATTAACTTTAAAATTAACAAATAGTTTTCATTTTCTGAAATTATTAAGTACATAGTAGTTAGATTTTTACAAAATAATGTACATTTTTAAGTATATCTAATTGAAGTTTCTTGAATACAGCCTTATTTGATTACAGCTAAATTAATTCAGCCTTCCAACATGAAAAGGCTCCCCACCCCTGGTGCAGACTGAGGTGTCAAGGTATATTTTCCTGAGTAAATGACATTTTAACCAAGACTTGAAGAATGAGGAGGAGTTGAACAGGGGGAGAGAGAGAAGGAAACGTGCAACAGGGAAGACAAAGAGCACATTCAAAGGCCCTGATACACATGCCAGAAACAAACAGTGGTGAGTGGTGGGTTAGAAGGATAGGTTGAGACCAGGTCATATGGGCAACACGGTCTGTCCTATAAGCAATGGGAAGTTATTGAAGGGTTTTAACTAGGTAACTGAAGTCAGATATGTTTTCAAAGCATCAAATACTGGGTGAAATAATGGCCTTCCAATAAGAGGGTCTACACGGTTGAGGTACTTTCTGTAATCAGTTACTCCTTGGACAATGCAGGTCCCCATACCCTTCTGAAGAACTAGCTCTCATTTGAAAACAAAACAAAAAATTCTTTTTAATTGATCCTCTGTTATCTCCAAGGATTTAGAGCTGTAAATTCATAATTTTTAGAATAGAAAAGGGCTTAAAGGTCATCCCGTCTGATGACCTCTCATTTCTTTTTTTTTTTTTTTTTATTTTTTATTTCAGCATGTTATGGGGGTACAGATGATTAGGTTATGTATGGTGCCCTTACCCTCCTTCCCCCCCAAGTCCGAGCTTCAAGTGTGTCCATTCCCCCGGAGGTGCGCATCGCACTCATTGTTAGTGCATATGACCTCTCATTTCTTTACACCCACCCAGGAGGTTGATGGAGTTGCCAAAGCCACCAATTATTAAGTGAAGAGCTAGAACCAGAAACCGGATCTCTAAACTCTCATCCAAACTTGCTATCAATCAATGTTGTTCTTTTATGAATGATTAGCAATTTTAATAATTCCACAGTGTTTATCAGGCAGTCTCACATTAAATATGAGGTCTTAGGATATTGCGTTTTTATTTTACAATAATTTAGAAGTGTTAAAAAGTGATTCCAATGTCTTTCTTTGGCTATCAAGAGAAACAATTATCTAATATTCTGAAATAAAATTATAGTTATAGTAGCTGTATTGTTTAAGTATCTTTATTTGAGATATAATATTTACATTATGAAAACATGATATTCTTAAGTAGAGGATAATAAACAAAACAGGACGTTTATAAGGAAATTATAAAATTACAATTAAAATGTGCAATGGACAGTAATATTCATGAAGAATATAACAAATAGTTATCAATGTGTAAAATTGTTATCTTTACCAGGAATTTTAAAATATCCATACATACTTACAGATAATTTTGAAGAAATAATTTTAAAAGGTTTGCATTTTACATTGTTGCTTCTGTGGCAGATTATACTTTTCCAAAATGGCTATACTTTTCCCACATTGGCTTCACAACCTTGCCACTCCCATCAAGAGGCAAAGTCTATTTCCCTTTCTCTTGAAACTATAGAAGACTTTGTGACTTCCTCAACCAAAAAGGATGTGGCAGAACTGTATGACTTCTGAGGCTAGTTCTTAAAGGTGGATACAGGTTTTTGTTTTTTTTCCCTCTCCCTCCCTTCCTCTCCTCTCTCAAAGCTCAACCTTGAAACCTAGCCACACTTTTAAGACAAAAGCCAGTTCACACGGAGAGACTATATGCAGGCAGGTGGTCCAGGCGAGAGTCTCAGGTCTTAGCCTACAAGTGGTATTAAAACCAATACATGTGAGAGCCTTCACATAATTTCAGGTCCAGCCTTCTAGTCTGATACTGAGAAGAGTAGAAATGAGCTATCCACACCTGCCCTGCCCTGCCCAAATTGAAGATTTGGAAGCAAAATAAATATTACCAATTCTTTAAGCCAGGGTTTCTTAGCCTTGCACTACTGACTTTTGAAGAGGATGATTCTTTTTTATGGAGGGCTGTCCTGTGTATCGTAAGATGCTTAACGACATCCCTGGCCTCCTGACAGTAGCACCCCACACAGGCTTTGACAATCAAAAATGTCCTTTGGGAAGCAAAATCACCCCCAGTTGAGAATCACTGTTTGTAGCCACTAAGTTTGGGAGTTATCTGTTATGCAGTTATCGTGATAGCTTGACTGTGCTTGTCCTAACATAATTCTCACCAATATCTACACTTAGGTCATTTAACCACGGTCATATAATTAAATGTACACAATATCTCTATATAACACATGAATACATACCATAGAGGGCTATTTGAACATCATTTTACAAAAGAGTGGAAAGATATTATGCAGATTTGTCTATAAAATATTTCTATTCTTAATAC